TGATGACACTTATGTAGAAAGTATAAGGCACTTACCTTCTTTTGAAAGGTTGTATGAACTCTGTTATATCCACTGGCCTATGGACTGCCTCAAGTATGAAGGCACATGGCTGAAATATTCCATCCTTGTCTTCACTCTGCTTCATTGTCCAAAAGCAACTGGGATGAATGGAACTCGACATGTGAAGTGGGATGTTCAGGAGCAAGAAGAATAAAATCAAAGTGAACATATTTTTCTGCTCTAACCCTGGGAAATTTGGATTGTGACATGCCATACATATCAGAACATAAAATGGGCACCCAGATATATCCACTTGCTTTTATTTCTGTGACCAAATAAGAGGCTACTTATGTATCATGGTTCATCTTCTTTATTTGTGCAGTTCTTTTCTCACCCATTGAGAATACTTTGAAAATCTCTTCCCTCAGGCTCTTCATCTGCTGTCCATAGTCCATGACATACAATTTGGAAGATAAATATATAGGATGATAGTTCAGCTAGTTTCATGACATCATTCATCTTTTTGGAAAGCAGAGCCCCAGGGAAAATGACATTTTTGGAAAGTTTACTCCAATGACTGCCTTAGATTTTTGTTAGCGTTAAAAGCTTTAGAAATGATGTCAGTGTATTTTGTTAGATTATCCACAGTGAGACATGCATTGTTGGTTCAGGGGAACTCATAAATTAAAATTCATTGTTCCACACTGTGATTATATCACAAAGTCCATGTCATTGAAAAGCAGCTTCATGTTTAGAGTAATTGAGTTAAACATAGCATTCAGAGTGGGGCCTTCTCTATACCAGTATCAGTTACAGAATATCTAACCAAAGCCTGTGATGCCCTTGTCTTGAAAACCAATAATCAGTCCAAATCATTTAACATTCTGGATCCTGATGTTCCAAAACTATCAAGACCATCAAAGAACCATAGTTCATTTAGAAATTAAATGTTGATTTTTTTTTAAATATTCAAAGAGCTCAGAAAGAACACCTGACCTGTATGCCTCATTTCACACACTCTATAAGAATTATCACTCCTCTTCCGAACCAATCATTATTCATGAGAAGATAAGTTGAATATTTCTTTTCTAAACTAAGATCCTCCTCCATAATTCCCAATCCTCACATGTGTTGACCCATTTTTTCTTATTTATCTGTGGTTTCCAATGTTGTTTTTGCTCGTTTTATAATATATTATTGGCTACAGTGAAGTCTTATTGAGTATTTTAAAGCAAATAGAACCTGAGAAGTAACCCTGTGTTTTATGTATAAATTCTTGTCATACAATTTTTCTTCTCATCTACTTCATTTGCATTCTGGGACCTGCACTGCCACTTTGATAATGTTCTACTGAGTATGGGATGAAGAGCCTCTATCAATGGTTATGGACTGCAGAGAATGTAGGACAAATGTAGGACAAGTCTTTGTTGCGGGTGGTGATATGTCCTATTTAGTATTTGAGATGAGGCAAACAGGACTACACGTATCTTCTCAATTGTGTACATTTAATAATAAACATT